TATATATATAAATGATATATTAACATCACAAAATCTTCCATCACCTATCAGTAAGTTTAGTAAAATAGATTTTCTTTGGAGATCTTCTTTGGTTTATCCAATGGTAGATTTATAAAACACAACACAATACACATTAAATAACTAAGTAAAATAAAAAAATCCAAAGTCATGCAACATAAAAACATTCACTATTACATAATAATTTTAATATTTAGACTAAAAATATCCATTCTTTCATACCAAAAATATTTGCTTTGGACCTGCGAACTTAAGAAGCACTACCCAACACTAACACACAACATTTACACAGTACCAATACTCTTAGCTTTATATGTACAAGCATGTAAGTTTCATGTTACATGTACAAGCTCTATCAGAAGATACTTTGGCCCCACTTTCTTGACAGACTAATTCACTTAAATAAAAATTTCTAAATATTAAATGAATCAACCTGTAAAAAACACTCGTGGCCTAAGTATCTTCTCTTCTAAATAAACTGTGACAGACTTATGTTTATGTACAAATTATTCATTTCAATGCTTTGCATACACCAACATAAGGCAGACGTTTGATAGCATGCCAGTATAATTGTAGCTTTAGCTCCCTTGCAAATTTAAAAAGCATGCCACAGAATTGATTTAACTCATCTGCCACACACAAAGCTTTACTGGGCCTAACCAACCTCAACGTAAATGAGTTGGTACCCAATTTACTGCAATGGGTGTCTGTCGCAGAAGAATCTTCATTCCAAACAGCAATACAAAGTTTGTAGTAAGTAATGCAAGCAAAGAACTTGAAACTATAGTTCAAAAAGTTACCAGCATTCATTGATCACATCCTTTAAGGTCCCAACAATCAGCTGTATTGTTTTGTAAACCACATGTTATTTCCAATGCAGAAATTACTTATAAACTCAGCAGGCCCTAAAAGCAGACCCTAAAAGCTTAAAACAAGTTGCAAGTTTTGGATAGAACATTTGGGAGCAAACTAAGGAAAATTTGGAATTAAAAATGAGTATATAATGCGAATCTTTTTTATTGTGTTAACCAATTTTACATTGAAACATACATAGATAAAAAAAAATACAAGTTACAAAACAATACTGAAAAAACAGTCTACTTTTTTTTTTTGATATTCAGTCTCAAAATTTCTCATTACAATATTCAGACTTAAGAATTGAAAACCAAAAAGATTTATTGATCCATTTTCTCTCCACCCTCTTTAGTAGCAGATGGTTTGTTTCCTGTAGTTTGTGGTGCAGACTGCATCACAGCTGGTGCATTGGTGTGCGTGATTGGAATGGGGCGTTCCTTAGAAAGTGGCTCAATTGCCTTTTTCGGAGCTTCAATAGAGAGTACACCATCAGAAGAAAGTTTGGAAACCAGAGCATCTGGATTAACATCCTCAGGAAGTAAGTATCTCCTTTGGAATTGGCGAGAGATGTAGCCGTGATCATCCTGACGCTCCTCGTGCTTGCCCTCTACAACAACGTAGTTGTCTACCATTTTAACATTTATTTCCTCAGGCTTGAATTGTTGGACATCCAGATTCACCTGTGAACAGAGTTTCAGTTACATTTAGGAGGAGAATATCGGAATACCAATCAGAGTTCCTTTTTATTCCCGAGTCTTAACTACTAACCAGTTTTTAATAACAAGTTTCCATGTACATTATAGCTTAATGCAAGTCTTAAGCAATTGAAAGTTTTAACTTGACATGAAACGTTTAAAATAGATGTGAACCTTTATGACATTTAAGTTCCAGAAAACGAACGAGAATTGCCAGGTTTAGGAGAAATTTAAGACCCAAATTGTCAATTAGTTAATTTATATGCATTCTTAAAATTTTTACCTTACCTTAAACCCATCTGAATCGTTCTGGATATTTGATACCCCACTGTTTCGCGCAGTTTGGTGTCTCCAGGGGCGAATGTAGCCACTGAAGCCTGGGCAGGCAATAGGGCGGACTAGGTCGTCGTGCAGAAGGCCCAGGCCGAAAGCCTGGTCGAAAATCGAGCCCGTACGGTAAGAACGGGGCACGACGAGGTCGTCGAGAAAGTTGTTTAAGAAGTAAGGTGACAGAGCCATCTGAAATTACAAAATTTAGTGACAAATTAGGAGGTGTAAAATTAAACGCGTAAGAAACATCCTAGATATGACGCATATTTTGTCTCGTTCAGGAGAAAGGGTAAATCTGCAACTAAATGCTTAGTCTTACAATTACAACACCTTATGGATATAGTTAGAAATATTGTTTTACTACCACATAAAGGGCTAACTTGTATTGAATATTTTAAATTTATATTATACGCGTACTTTTCTCGAGCCAAATTCTTGCCGCCTTTACTAATTATAGTTGAAAAATCACAAATAACGTTGCTGACAAAGTCTGATAACCAGGAATTTCGCACTAAAGTAACAAACTACAGAGCTGCAACTGCTCACTATCTTCTCTCGCATAGACAAATGAGAAACCGAGCAAAAAGTGTCAGATTACCCTTTTATGTTTCAAATATGGTATATCGCTTTACTGGTAAAAAAAAAAGAGAATTGTTAAGTGGCCGAAAACGGAAAATTAAAGATTTTCCAAATTGATCATCGAAGATAATCAACACATTTTGCGTAATCCACCTACGAACTAGAAAAAACATGCCGAATGGAAAACCTACTTTACAGGAATTCTAGACTTACCTCGTTTTCAGTTAACTGGCACACGACTAAAAACTTCCAACAAATATTTCAACAGCAAAGAAAGTTCAAACCACACCGACTAGCAACTCAGCTTCCAAGTCGCTCTCGATTCAGCGCTCTCGTGCTGTCGTACCAACGTCGCACCAACAATTGAATTGATGGCGGCAGTCGCGCGCGCCGCCTTATATTGCTCCGTCGAACCTTCGCGATGCTTCACGAATTGACCGGGTCATTCTCGTCCTTCCCGAGCTGTTTGCGTGACTCGCGCGCGCACTGGAATGGAACGCTCCCAGGCGAATCGGACGGAAAGTCGTCTAGCGTTTTCGAGACCTCGCGTGACTGTGCTAGTACTTCAAGAGCAATTGAATAAAATAATGATGATTCTACACCATAAAAAGAATAAAAATGAAACGTTAAGGAATATGACGAAAATTGTTAGTCTATTTCTGTACTTTTATTCGTGTGTTTGCGGCCAGTTCGTGGATGACGCAACATGGCAGTGAGAGTTTGACAATCTGAATGTAAAACTCAGTCATACTCTTTAATTTATGAAAGGCCCACAATCAGAAATGACAATATATATGTACGAGTGATGATAATATTCTTGGGTGCGAATTCTAGATAAAATTTAGCTCATTTTAAACCCGCTATTTGCATAATTCTCTCGTAACTGTTCGATATAATGTCATGAGCTCCAGGTTAAATAATTATTTACACTTTCAGAATACCGCGAATTTTATTGATCTGAATTTTTATCACAAATACTTGCCTACGAACGGAACAGAACCTAGAAGCATAATTATTAATTTGATTTATTCCTCCAAAACTAAAACTCTTTGCTACATTCAGTGCTGAAATACTATTCAATGTGTAGTTTAGTTTTAGATGAATGATAGCAATATTTTTGTTTCTGAAAACTCTTGAAAATGGTTGATATCTCAAAATCTAGCTGCAAAACAGTTGTAGTGTGAACAATATTTCACAGTCTACTCTAGTTTTATTGCACAAGAGGGAAAAACAAAAAAGATAAATAATTTAAAATTATAATAAATTTATTATAATTTTAATAAATATCATAAAATTATAATAAATTTATTATATTTTCATGTGTGGGCAAAAGTTTTAAGAAAAATATTGATATCTTAATTAAATATCAAGAAATAGATTGATCCAATACATGAACTGAAGAAGTAAACATTTTAGTCTATCCATGATCCCACAAACTAATACTATCAAAATCAAATCAGATGTGTATATGGAATATCAAAAGTATGAAAATATATTTAAAAAACTTGGGGGATAAAATAAAGAAAATGAATGTTACTAGAAATCATTCCATACTTTGAAGATTTTTGAAGTAGCAATCTGTACCTTTCCCTTTCAATTCTTTTGGTTTCTTCCCATTTCAACCAAGTTGCAGGGTAGTGATCAGTAATGTAAATTAATAACAATAATGTAAAATTAGCTCCTAGTCATTACCTACCACAACTAAAACTTCCCTTATTAGGTCTTTACAGTAATTCAAAGTAAAAAAATTAGAAAACTCTAACTCCAAAGCAATTTGAAAATAAAGTTTGCTTTTAGTTACATGACAAGTATATATTTTATTACATTTTTCCCCTGACATTGAAGGGACAACTGCCTATCCTTCATTATTGCCCCTATGCTGTAACATTGGATTCACAAGATATTTTTGGTGAATTATTTCATCACTCAAAATATTAATTTAAAACATTGTATATGTAAATTCATACATACACTTCATTTTTACCTTCCCTACCACAATTAAATAACGGTATTATCATACATATTTTGTCAAATGCTTGTACCACTTGTCAACACATTAACATAAATTAATCACTACCAGAGGCAAATAGCATTGAATTGTTACATTAGGGTGAGATAATTTTTATTTATTTTTGAATTAAAGAACAAAGTTGACATTTTATGAATTTGCATTAATGTATTAAATCCTACTAAAAATTAATCTGAAGGGATACCTCAGGAAACAAAATGGATATTAAGGCTGTATTTGGATATTGGGAGTTTTATGGTAATAAAGCATCACTTCTATTCAACAAATTTATTAAAGAAAAAATTATAAATCAGTCTTAGTCACTTAGTTGTAATAGATTTTTCTCAAACAGATGTGCAGACACATTGAATATTAATATGAACTCTCCACAATTACACAAAAGCATTTTCAGGCAACTTTTTTAATCTGTCTTTTGTGCAGAATGTTCCTCCATTGCTGATACTGATGTTACTGTTGGTGCATTTGTAAGGGTGATCTGAATCACATGGTCTTTGGAAGGAGACACTATAGTCTTCTTAGGAGCTTCAATGGACAGCACACCATCAGACGAGAGTTTGGACTCCACAGCATCTAGAACAATGCCTTCGGGAAGCTTGTATCGTCTTTGGAACTGCCGTGATATGTATCCATGTTCATCCTGCCTTTCTTTGTGTTTGCCTTCCACAACAATATGGTTTCCTACCATTTTCACACTTATTTCATCAGGCCTGAACTGCTGTACGTCCAGATTTACCTGTAAATAAATTTCACTTCAACATTAAACAAAAGAAGTTTCACTACAACATTGTGATAATCCAATCACAAATGAAACGTTGCAAAATGGCTTGTTTAATTTATTATTATCTCAAGAACACAGAAAACATTAAAAAGTCAAGCAAACTTACTTTCATTTTTATAAAAACTTACAAACTAACAACACTACACAAATGCAAGCGATCTCTTCAGCAATAGTCCTCTTCACACAGCATCATAAAGCTTTTTCTTTTTTCTTTACTCAGCATGAATATTTTACAAGTCAGTACAATGTAATTTTTGTAGTTAAATAAGGGTTGTCAGAGTATAAATTATAATCGCACATACAAGTCTAAATATCTAGTTTATTGATAACTGATATAAAGGCGTTAAATCAGAGGCGTAACATTCGGGTCCATAAGGTCCGCAATGCAGGCAGACCAAGGCCAAAGAGGGCCTACTTTTGGGCTGAATGTTTTGTGATTGTAAGAAATATTAATTACTTGATACTTTTGATAGTAGATAAATAAAGGATTAGAAACAGAATCTACATCAGAATGATTTTTTGCACTTCGATAGTGCATATAACTGTTTCTAAATCAATAAAGGTAGGCAATTTATTTAGGTTTTATAATGATTCATTTCATAAAAAAATGAAGGAAGATTTTTCCACTACTGTATATTCTTAGACCGATGAATTTGTATTTGTAAATGGATATTTTTATTACATAAGGTACTAACACCTCTTCTGTTCGCTATACACTTTTATAAACAAATACACAAACGTTTTGCTATGTTCATTTCGTTACACTAAAGCATTAAACTGTACTATTACCTATAATACTAATTGCACTGTGTAATTCAATGTAAGGTCTTAATCTAATAACCCTGCTCCTATATTTCAAGGAATTATCAGAGATTAATCTGATAAACCTCTCAAATAATTTTATTTAAGAAATATGACTACAGTATTGCCTGTTGTACCAATAGTACAAAGTATTTTAATGTTGTTGTCTAATGTAACTCTTTTATCTCCTATGCAAAAGCGGATCTGTGCACGTGTAAAAGACATGGATAGACCTACATCACGGATGTCCTGTACTGTGCTGCATAATCACCAAAAAGAAGAAGAAAAATTATTAGCAATTTTAATGTAGTCCGGTAGGCAGCTTTTGCCACTTCAAACTACTTCAAGTTGTACTGTGTTCTCTACTTTGGTCTAAATTTCAGGGTCAAAGATTTAGAGCAAGATAATTAACAGAGGATTTCAAATGGAAAAAATTACTTAAATGACAAGTCTGGGAAAATATTTTAGTCTAGGTTCTGACAAGCACAGGTGTAAAGTAGTAAGTATAGGAAGAGCTAAATCTATTCCCTTATAAAAAATTGAAGTTATCAAGTAAAAATATTTTTATTCCTGAGGTAATCCCAAATCAGCAAATCCAATTCATTTAACCCTGTAGACATTTTTTTCCATTTACCTTATATCTATCTCGATTGTCTTGAATATCGGATATGCCATTGGCCTGATAATACTGGTGTCTCCAGGGACCTAAGTAGCGGTTCCGAATGAGGGCAGGAACAAAGGGACGAAAAAGTTCTTTGTGCAAAACATCGAATCCAAAATTGTGTTTAAAAAGCGGGCCAGTGCGGTAAATGCGCAGATCAGTTTTGTTACCACTATTCAGACGCGGATCTGATGCCATCTGCAAATACAAAAAACAAACAAAAAAAATATTATTTAAATACCTAACCATTTTGAAATTATCTACCGATTTAGCACATTTAATAAAATTTCATTAAAATACTATACATTCAAATGTTTACAATATACTGTAAATATACTGAATGGTAAACATTTACTTGTAAATTACGAAATCGTGTACGCAGAATGCATAATCTAAGCCAATTAAGACGAATAGACCAGTGCTATTGATGAAAGCAAAGAAACAAAATATGAAAACATATTTTGAAAGTGTAAGTGAAAGTAGAACTGATCCTAAATCGTTGATTCCTTACAAATTAATTCCTCTTTTACCTCTAAGTACAACGATGAACAGCGGAAGATTAATCTTCCAAAACTTCCAAATTTGGAGTTTAGTTGAGTCGGCAATAAGTCACAATGATGCCGATGTGTATGAATTCAATTGATGCCGCCAGTGGAAGAACTCATGCCGTCGATGCCGTGGGATGCCGCTGCTGCCCGTTTGCGGAGCCGGTTCATATCACAGAACGATTTACCAACCGCTCTTTCAAAATGAACTGTGGGAGTCAGAGGAGAGATACAGTTTTTGTATCTCTCCTCTATGGTGGGAGTGCACGAATATTCCCCTCCGGCTGGATCCACCCTAATTTTTGAGGGGGGGGGAATCACAGATTTGTTAAATAATGAACATTTATTATTATATTTTATATTATTTGGTGCATATATGATACAAAACAACATTATGTTTAAATAATTACATTTCCAACATACAACTAAGTACAACAATTACAACTGACTATACTGAAAGAAATAACAGGAACAAGGATCCGGATAGAGTATTGCCTATTCTTCAAAGTGAAGTAAGATGCTTTATCTCAGAGCTAAAAACAAAACGCTCACCGGAGATGATGTAAAATTAAACGAATTCCTTATACACTGTCCAGAAGAAGAGATAATAGAAATAAAATTTAATAAAATACTGCAGGCAGAAGTGACCCCAAAGCAATGGTTACTAAGCACCATCTCCTCCTTATAGCAAAAGGGCACTTAAAAGGATGACTTCAATAATTATCGACCGATCAGTCTAATGTACAAGCTCTATAAATTATTCTCAAATATAACAACCAGACGAATAATCAGGACAATTGACGAACAGGCTGGATTCCGATCCGGTTTTAGTACAATATATCACTTACAGACACTAAACCAGATATCGAGAAAATACAAGAGTTAATTTAAAATTCTATATAGCCTTTATCGATTTTAGAAAGGCATTTGATTGTGTAGAACATTCGGCGCTATTCAATTGATATTAATAAACAAGGTGTGACAAAAAAGTACATTATAATTTTACAGAGAATATATTCAATCGGTACTGGAAAAGTAAGAACTGACCAAGAAGGGAAGGCATTTGAGATACACTATGTAATCAAAAGTATCCGTACACGTCCAGTATGGTGTTATGGTGTGGTAGTGTTTTTTATGGAGGGGGCTTGCAACCCCTTGTTTTGTGTGGCACTATCACGGCACACGCCTACGTTGAAGTTTTAAACACTTTCTTGCTTCCCTCTGTGAAAGAGCGATTCGGGAATGGCGATTGCATTTTTCAACACGATCGAGCACCTGTTCATACTGCACGACAATAACATCCCAGAAACGGACTGGCCTGCTCAGTGACCTGACTTTAATCCTACAGGACACCTTTGGGATGTTTTGGAACGCCGACTTCATGCCAGGCCTCACTGACCTACATCGATACATCTCTCCAGTGCAGTACTCCGTGAGGAATGGGCTGCCATTCCCCAAGAAATCGTCCAGCACCCGATTGAAAGTATGCCTGCGAGAATGGTAGCTGTCATCAAGGCAAGCGGAGGGCCAACAATCTGCTGAATTCCAGCATTAGCAATTGAGGACGCCACGAACTGGTATGTCATTTGCAGCCATGTGTCCTGATGCTTTTGATCACATAGTGTAAGACGAGGTGTCAGGCAAGAAGATCCATCATCGCCAAAACTATTCACTTGCCTTTTAGAAAATGTATTCAGGCAGCCAACATGGTCTAAAAAAAATAAAGTAAATAACAAATAAAAATTGACGGGCACAATGACGGGAATACACTTGAAGTCAGACATTTGACGCTCGTTTTTCGTCAGTCTCAAAAGTAACTTACACAATTATGAACGTGCGTGTGAAAAGACATTAGCATTGAACAAGTTCGTAAACACCTTCAAACTATGCCAAATAATTGTGCAATTTAGCATCAGAGAATATTTTACCAAGTCTGCTCATTGTTAACTTATACCAAGTTATTTGAAGAAACCATTTACGTCTCGATATTGGAATGCAAGGACGGGAGGATTTGAAAAAGATGCTAAATACGAAATAAGAAAATCAAAATGTAATAAATTAATTTATATTTAACAAACATTCAAGTCAGTCTTGTTCTTAGCTCGGAAAATTTATTTGAAGCCGAATATTGAATTCTGCAGAAAGAAAAATCTTGTCATGATTTGACTTAACTTTTTGGTGTGGTCGTTTCTAATGATTAATGACTAACTTCACTCTCTTCCGTCTGTGGTGCTTATGCCACAGTTGGCGTATTTGTGCGGGTGATTGGAATGACACGCTCCTCCGAAGGCGACATTATAGATTTCTTCGGAGCTTGAATGGACAGGACACCATGAGAAGAAAGTAGGGGAAACCTCTGCGAGATACATGTCGTCAGGAAGGCTGTTGTCCACGTTAACCTGGAAATAAAATATTAATGATCTGAACATGAAAATTGGAATTTGTTGAACGAAATATTAAACTAACTACAAATATATTTAATTACCTTGAATCCATTTGGGGTGAGCTGGACATTTGAGACGCCTCTATTTCGAGAAGACTGATGCTGCCAAGGTGTAACGTAGCCGGCCAGAAGTGAGGAAAGAACAATGGGGATGAATAAGATCATCGTTTAAAACGTCCAGTCCGAAGTTCTGATCTTAGAGGACCCAGCCGGAGGGGCAAAAGGCGAGCGAAATAGCTGAACACGTACGGAGTAAGAGCCATCTGTAAACAGATACATATTAATTAATACCCTTAACTCCAATATTTACACCCAATATTGATTACAAATATTTGTGGGCGTGGTCGTCTGAAATGCGCAACAACTTGTTCATCGACGTTACTTCAATACTCACCTTTCAGCTAAACAATTCGAAATAATTATTCTGAAGTGTGGCCTTGTTATACCACAGGCACCAAGACGAAGATCGGAGAACTAAGTCTAAAGCACTCGTGCCGATGATTCGACTACTGATGAGCAACACTTCGCGCCAGTTTTTATATCGTCACGGTCAAATTTCTCGAATCGCTAGACGCTCAGCTGCGCGAGTTTTTGTCATTCCATTTGGGCTAGTGCTTCGCGTATAATCTAAAATGTTATTAGTGTAACGAATCTGTCATCCAAATTCAGTTGAAATAAACTTTCTTCAAGACAAGATGCCCTCGAATGTAAAATGGAGAGAGTACTTTGTCAATTATTGACATTTTAATCGAGCTTGTTGGTGAGCCTCGTAATGACGTAACCTGTACGTCACGAACAAACGAAGCAGCGCGAAGTCTAATTCTCCGATTCCTGCTTGCTTTATAGTGTAAAACAGAATTTCAACAGGTTTATAAACATGTTTCACATTCACATTTCACATTCATCACTTATTGACTTTTAACATGAAACTTTTGTGAGTATCTTTGAAGGGTAAAACAATCGATGATCAAGATCGATGTTTTATGTGGAAGTGAGTTATAATTAGAACCATTGAACATGTATTTTTATAAATTATTATAATTTGCTTTCAAAAGAAATGTTAAACCCTAGCCCTGTTGTATTGAATTGTTTAACTTTCATTCATTACAATAAAGCTGACAGAAGGGTATGAGAGAATTATGAAATTAATGTAATGTGTACATTTTTATCACAATTTTTTTGTCAATTGAGATACAGACTGATAACACTTGAAAAACATTATATTAAACACATATTAACATAATGTAAGGAAATTATGCTTTTGTTTTGGATTCTTGTATAATATTTTAGTGTTATTTATTGACAGAAAAATGTATATGATAGCTATAATCAACTTTTTGTGTGGATAACAATAACATCTGACTGTGTTTTGTGGACCTGGGTATAAATTATGATTGTTTAAACTATGGTATTAATCTCAGACTTTTACAGATTTATCTTACAAATTTCGTTTCCAATATTTATTTATTTTGTAAAGAACAAAGTTCTTACCTGCTGAAACAAAAATGGGTAATAATTTTTATTTTAAATGTTTATTTATCCTTGTTATTATTGCTATAATTATTATAATTGCTTTTAACAATTATAGTGATTAATGGGTATTATATATTTCATTTTCTGACAAAATCACAACAAAAATTTCCCTTCCCTGAACCTCCTCTCTTAATAAGATTTGAATTGTTCAAATGTTTTCATTCATTTATTTATTTATTTACTTTAAGAAAAAAATATATGCCAAATAATGAAGCATGGTTATAAATATACTTGTTTTTTGTGCATAATGTAATAGTAATATTCAATAGTCTTCTCATCATTTTGTGTCAATATCAAATGCAATTAGTCATTCATGAAGTTCCTCTCAATTGTGATCAGAAAATATGTGTTATTTCATTATAAATGAAATGTGAACATAATCACTTTGGGATGTGAACTTACTTTCATTTCAAAATCTTCATTATTAAAATCACTTTTATGATCCAATTGTTTGCTGCAAAAATGTTAAAAAAGAATTGTTCCATTTAATGTTTTTAAACATGCTATTAAACTACTGCATAGAGAAAGTAAACAAAATATTCAGAAAATGTTGATGGAATTTTGTAATTGCTGAAACCAAAGAAATTTGTAAAATAAATTGTGTGAAATGAGAATAATTCTTGTGTTTCTTACTGTGATTTTTTAATGTTTTACGTCTTGATCCCAACAAAAACTACACTTGTTAAATTCATCAGTTAAGTTAAATACATGGCTTTTTGCAGCTTTCAGAAAATCTTTCCATTGATTTTGGTATTTATTGTCAATTGTCATATAAATAAGGATATCTAGAACTATTTTCTAAAATCTTTACCTAATTTACAAATGTGTCTGCTTCTTTTCTCTTGGTTTTGACTATGCATATTTGGAATATTTGTGAATTGGGAGTTATCTTTTGATGAAAATAATTTAAACAAATATGAAGGAACACTAATCATTTATATTTTCATCAAAGAAGAGAAGAATGAAGAACAATTATAAACAATTGAAAAAATACTTCTTGTAAGTTTTCAGATATTGTTTTTATTTACAAATAATAAATATGAAAATATTTCATTGGAAATCAATAGAATGTAAATATTTTTTACACAGTTATCTACGAATAGCTGATTGTAACGTGTAATAATAAAATTGTCACAAATCCTGAAATGTATTAGCATTACAAGCCTATGTGTTCCTAATTCAACTTAATATGTATGTGATTTAGAACAGAGATCCAAGAGCTGAAGAAACCATGCACAAATTGCACTTCTCCGTATGTCACACAGTTTTTAATGGTTTTAGATGTTAAATAAATAAACACGTACTGCACACTTTGTACTAAAAACTTTGAAAGTAACGTTAAACAAAATTGGAATGGTTTCACCTTATGAATGTTGAGAACCTCTACCACTTCATGCAACATTGTTAGATAATTGGTTTTGAACACTGATCTAATAAAACTGAATATAAGTTAAGATCAGCATAATCATCTCTTCTGTTTTATTTGGGAATTCGCTTGTTTTTTGGGGGGGTGATTTGAATTCCACCACTTCAGTACAAATCTGTTTTATTTTGTAGTAATGAACTCATAATTTCAGATTAAAAAATAAGAAATTAATTTATTATAAAGAAAAAGAATCATTGTAACAGAGACTTATTTAAAAAAATGTAAGAAAAGATTTTAATTGAAACCGGTTTCCACACTAGAATATTTATGTAAAACATTTAAAATACCTATTATTATCAGCCCAAAGCAAAATTCACATGTTAGATTTCCCTACAATTTACTAGAAGAAAAAGAGTTGATAGCTTCAAATAATTGAAAATATAATTTGTTGCTCACTTGCAATATTAAGAAATACTTGAACTATTTTGCATTACACTAGGAAATCCTTATCAAGAATTCCTTTATGACATTTCTACCGATACAATCGTAACAGCCTCAACAGAGGTGTCAGGGTCAGTTACCTTAAATGCAAAGAGATAACACAAGCTGTGATAACACATTGGGTTTTTCATTCCTGTCAGGTATTCATTCTTGAACTTGTTATATCATTTTCCTTTGTCTGTTTTCTTTTGAGATTGCTTCTGTAAATGCTGAAGTTTATTGTAAATAGTTGGGTCTAACTAAAACGAACCGAAAATGATAAAAGCATCCCGTAAAATAATTTAGTGGCACATAAATGTTAAAAACCTTTGCTAATGAAAAATAATAATCTTTCATTCCTTACACTTGCAAAAAATGTTTAAGGAGGGATAATTCACAAATTTCAAGGGTATATTTCAAGCATAGAGATTATGAGCCTTCGAACACACACTAGTGGTAGTTTTCAGAACATAGTGAAACAGCACAAGGGACTGGGTTCTATGCTACAAATAACATTTGAATAATTACTATTAATATTTCTCTAACCTGCAAGATTTGGTTACATTGATTTTTGAATTACTTTAAATATATTTGTAATAATCAGTTTTGTATGCTACCGTAGCTGATGCCACTCTGCTGTGCTCTAGTTTGTCAGGACTGCCAACAGTAAGCAGCAATTGTCATTGAAAACTATGAATTCTCGCTATCCGGGAGACGCCGCGTCGTTGGCTGGGGTGCCGACGTTTCGCCTAACATTTCGCAGACTTCCTCAGGGCAGTGACACCCCAGCCAACGACGCGGCGTCTCCCGGATAGCCGAGAATTCATGGATTCAAGCCGCGGAAGCTTATGTACACATTGAAAACTAGTTCCAATATCAGAACTAATCCATTTATTAAGAATTACATAATTTTGTTGGTTTAAAAGTTGTAGAAATGTTTACTATTCTCATTTTGAAAGTAGAGCAATTACTTCTTCAGTGAACGTGTGGCAACCTTGAAGGTAAAAATTAATGTATTGCAACAGTTAACTAATTCCAAAAGGCTATTTCCCTACTTTGTTGCAAAAAGATTTACCTATTAATTAGTAACATTGATTTTCAACCACACATTCAGAAAAAACATTTCATTACAAACATGCTGCAGGCCCTTCCATGATGGAAGGTTTTCAAATTTACAAAGACAAGTCCTTTCTAAATTCTGAAAACCTTTGGAAGAAGCTAATCAAATCATGTGTGTATATGTTTCCATAGTCTGTCTTCAAAAAAAAATTTCAAAGCAGCTCAGAATGTCTCCCCGCTTCCCATTTTCAGATAGGACAATCACATGGAAATTACCAAATTGCTTTTATGCTATTATCTCATACAAGACATTACAGAATAAACTAGATTATCATAACTTTCAAGGACAATACTAAATATATTATTAGAATGTAGAAACTGTTTGGGAATCTGCATTTTTTATCACAGTTTCCCCCCATAGATTCAGGGAAACCTTGCAAATTGTGGGGAACCTGATGTGGAGAGGTTTAGGAAGGGAACAAAAGAATCTAGAACTTAAATGACACAAAAAATTTTAATGTACACTAAATTGGTACAGTTAAGAGGTACAAATCAGTCTTAACAACTATTGGAGACCAACAGTGTAATACTTTGAAATAACAGTCTTAGAAATACATATAAGTAAAAGATCGTTAAAGCAAGATTAGGGGCAAAGAAAAACTCAGATTCACATTTACTGATCCATCTTCTCAGCAGTATCCCCCTTTCCAGTTTGGCCTGAACTCGGCTGACTCTTGATGGCAGGAGTATTGGTGTGAGTAATTTGGATGACACGTTCTTTAGAAGGTGGTGCTTGAACCTGAATATTTACAAAGATCAATATTTCTTTATTTAAAAAAACACTTGTTTTACTTCATTAACAATCAAGAGAAAAAAGAACAACTTTAGGCCAGTTTTAATTAATGATAAATTACCTTCTTAGGAGCTTCAATTGAGAGCACTCCATCTGAAGACAATTTTGAGATAACTGTGTCTGGATCCACATCATCTGGAATTTTGTATTTTCGAACAAATTTACGTGAAATGAATCCATGTTCATCTTCACGTTCCTCGTGACTTCCCTCCACCACAACATAATTATCCATCATCTTTACATTAATTTCTTCAGGTTTAAATTGCTGGACATCCAGGTTAACCTATAATCAGATACAAATATCTTAATAAAATACCCTCAAAGAACGAATTACGGGGAAATTTCAATTTTACCATTTTTACATGTTCTTACTTTAAATCCTTCCTGGTTGTTCTGAATATTAGAAGTCCCACTTGTACGGGTGGCTTGATGACGCCAGGGACGAATGTAGCCCGACAGCAGAGGAACAGTCATCAAATGTGGGTGGACAAGATCGTCATTCAGAACTCCTAAGCCAAAATTTTGATCGAAAATGGAGCCGGGCCGTGATCGAACCACTGCCATGTCTCCAAGAGCTTCACTCAGTAGATACGGAAGCAAAGACATCTGAAATTATAAAGCTACGGATTAAAATTCGTAATGTAAAATGCCGAATTGCAAATGTACGTATTGCGAATGAAATCCAATCAGCCATTCGTCGTCAACTGTCAAACAATGCAACGAACAGAATACTCACATTTACGATCTTACTGCAGGCAAAAACAGAAAATTTTACAACAATAGTACACGCACACTAAGTACTTCTTGGGTACAAAGTAGCAAGAACTAGTACTTCACAAAAGTCGTACTGAAAACACGATCTGCAGCGGAATGGTAACCGGTCGTTATGCGCAGCTCCTTATATACTGCCGTCGAAACTTCGCGGTCTCCCTGGAAACAACTGAGCGACTGAGCACACCCCTTTCTAGAAGGCTCGATAGAGAGAATATACTTCGATTCAAACATTACGTCCGTTGACACAAAATCAACTCTGGCACTATCATCCTATCGAGAGCTGTAACGTCACTTAAATAACTTAACTACAATGACGTGGAAGCTTTCGATAGGATAACAGCGTCACAACTAACACGAGTCAATGGACTTAATATTTTAATCGAAGTGTAGAGTCGTAATGGTGGGGGGAAATGAGAAACAAGGACAGATATATCGGAAAGAGGGCGTTGCGTCTAGAACTGTCAAGAACAGTCAAGATGCTGTGACGTGATCGTAACGCCTACGAAGAAATTTATTGCTGACTTAAAATAACTGGGGTGACCGGACGAATACGAAAATAAGATTGGGTGACTGAAGAGCTTTATTCCTTAATGTACCGATTGTACTGGAGCCAACGCTATATAGTACATGGAAATAATTGGCACTAGTATATGTATGTATTCGTAAACATTATGCGAAATTCATTGTTTTGAATAGTTTCACGACTCCTTAAATTGTGCTTTACTAAAGAGAATTATTTAATTCGGAACAATCTATACTTACATCAATATATTTTACATAATACTTTATATAAATATTAAGTCAGAGCAGCGCCAAGGTAATTTGCACCCTTGTGCAAATTTTTGTTTGCCGCCCCTTTGTTTAAAGTTTTTAATTTGATTACAAAGATTTTATTTAGTTAATATTTTTGACAGTCAAGTTGAGCGGTGACTTCACAGCTGTCGGATGAGTAATGAAAGTAACTGATAGTGTATTTACCAAAATTGATAAAGCCTCCGAAAAATACTTAATTTGATTTATTTACTACTTAATTTGATTTATTTAGTCAAAGAACAGTAAAAACTGTTTGTGCTCGGTGGAGGAGAAAAGTATCATCTGCGCAAGTTTTCTTGAGCTCCGGAACCTATTGCCATCATTTTAAATATAAATAGCTGAAAGATGAATTAAAGTTAAATAATAAAATTTAAAAAATCTTTCTTGGTGTATTCTTTTTTTGTCCCATAATTTTAGACTAAAAGAGTTTTTATATTTGTGAATAATAAACTTTTTTACGTTCAAAATATATTGAATTTGAAATATATTGAAAAAAATTAATGAAATATACACAGGTTTCGCAGCAAATATTGGTCACGAGAAAAATTAAAAGAATAATTTGAAAAACGGTGAATTTAAATTTCATTATAATTTCCTATCGAAAATGCCAATATTGTTTCTATTTGTTGCTTTCTCACACTTTTACTTCACTTAACTCTACAATGTGTAATCTCAGTGTATTGATGTACGAATACATAAAGTTGATGTACAAGAACATTCAGTTTTTGCATAAAATGTTACACGATTTGTAATGAGTACGGTTGATCAGAATTTAAATACTTGTATTTGAAATACGTATTTTAAATATTTTTTATTTGAAAAACTGAATTTTGGATTATTTGGTCGCATATTTTAGAGATGTATTTGAATACATAAGAGTTGTATTTAAAAAATAAGTCCTTAAAATACAGACGAAGAAAAAGAGGGGGGGAAAGAGCATTTATTCGTTATAACACTACGTTGCATGATTATTTACCTTAGTAGGTTTTATAGTAAATTAGGCAACTAAGGGTTTATTGTCTGATGATTTGTTTGAAAAATCAGTCGTCTTAAAAGGTAATTCCATTTGTTTGTATTAGACATTAAAAAAATATTACCAATTTTAGTTTCATATATTACAAATAGGTTTTCAATAATTTCTATGTACTAGTAATTGGAAACTAACTTGATCTCAATGTTGCCAGGTTGTAATATTGGCATTCCGCCAATAGGATGTCACCCCCCCTAGATTATGAATGAAACCGCAAAATTGTTTGTACTTGTTTTTAAGTTGCAAAGTTAATTTAACAAACTTTTTTTATAAATCACTATATTTATCCAAAACATAAATCGCGTCGAATCTTAATCGCTAATAAGTGGTGTTCTAGAGTTATGCGATTTAAAAACCTGCGCAAGTTCGCCACATTTGAAATTTGTTCCTTTGATTTTGTGTAAAATTCAATTGTGGTGACTCGAAGTCAAATATTTTCGTGTTTTTCTCACAAAAGAAAAGTAAATTAAACCATGCCAATGGTACAATAGCAACATAATATTTCCAATAGTCAATAGTGGACAACTCAAGCTGTTGGAAATATTAGTACTGATGTCATGAGCTGTTGGATATATTAGTACTATTCTTCCTTTTGTGCAAGTGAACTCAGCTTGCAAATTTTTGGTTTGAACTTCTTAAAAGAAAAGCTTTGCTTTTATTTATTGTGAAATCGGCCGAACTGACAATAGCGGCGATAGGCGTCTCAGGAACCTGAGATTACATAGTACTCACAACGGCTGACATTACAATATATGAGCGAAGAAATCGAATAGGGTACTCAGAAATTGTGGTGCACATTTGTTGCACCTAGTAAATATTGTTTGAAGCATTCCATTAAAACGATATTAAAATCAATAAAATTAGTGAAAAATACATTAAAAATGACGTAAGACGTTAAAAAATTACAGCTGAAATCGACGAATGAAAAAACAACAACAACAAACAATGCGTGACGTTCCGATGTCTAATAATTTCCAAAAAATTAAAGAAAAATCTAAAGAAACACATACATGCAAAATACAGTAGCGAATAAATTAATCTGAACAGAGAGAATTATCGTAATAGTTTCATTATTTGGCAAGACTTGGTCGCAGCTGTCTTGTTATGAAATTCCAACGACTCATTATTCTCCTATCTTCATTGTTAGGGTGAATGATGAAAACTGATCAATGAATTTAAAACACGTGAAAGAAGAATCGTACCACTAGTTGAAAAGGACAAGGCGTTGGTCTTCCAACAGGTCCTCGCACCGTGTCACAAACAAAGAAAGCTTTAGTTTTTTTCAAAGGGAACAATACAAAAATAAACCTTATGCCACTTGTCAATGTGGTGACTAAAATATCATCCAGATCGATTGGGGAATATCAATTTTGGAGAAAATCGGCTGAACGGTTTAGCCGCTAGCGTTGTTCACAGCATGGTGGAAACGAGACGGACGAACAGACGTTTTGCCGTCAAGCGATTGTCAATATCAAGGGCCCACAAAAAATGGTTTCTGACTAACCAGCGCGTTAGAGGAAGTAATTTACTGTACATAGGATCTAGATTTATTCACTTTTTTGTTACCCGGCCAGCTTTATTGTGGTCGAAAACTCTCCTCTTCGGACGCACGATTACAATACTTTCTCTTCTGATGTACGTATGGGCGAGAAAGTGAAAATCACTTTCTGCTACAGCATTACATTACAATACTTTCTGTTTAGTCCGTAAGTACATATAAGCCTAGAGGGTATTCTTAACTGTAAGTAATATGTAAGAAATGTATGGTGAGGCAAGAAAGTAAAAACTGTAAGCTGTAAACGGTAAAGTGTTAAAAAATAATATTTGAGGCTCAATGAATGTAATGAAATTGTTAATTCATTGTGATTGAATATTTTACTGAACCTATAAAATATCAAAATCAATCAATCAATCAAGGAGAAACTATTACTTTATTTTCACATTTTGAGATGGTACTGAGTAACTGATTTTGTGAATCAAAAAGGCTTAACCTAGAAGATCATTGTCACTGAAGTTGACTATAATATGCCAAGGATAAATTATTTTTTGGCAATTTATAAGAAACCATTGATATAAAACTCTAAGTGTGCTTCTTCTGGTTAGGAAATCACATACCAGACCTGCACGCAACTGATTTCAGGCAAAAAATATAAGCTAGCAGATTATGACGTGCAAACCAGATTATTGCAACACTTTCTAATTGGACATTTTTCTGAAATGTGAGGAAATGACAAGGAGGAGAATAGATGGGGAAATAAAGGAGAGATGAGACAAGTGGGGGCAGGGAAGATCCCAATTGTGTTTCTTAACCAGTTTTCTCCAAAATTATTTATTTTTGATCTTTTTATTTCATTTTTGGAGATTTTGTTATTTGAGTTTTTTCACCCACAGAGTGGTCAGAAAAGTGCAAACACTTGAAAACTATGTAAAAATTAAATTGTGGCAAAAAGACAAAAATAATCAGCCGAGACTGACTGATTTTCTGTGCAATTTTTTCTTAATGCTTAGTAGTATTAGGATCCTTTCTCTTGCATAGTACTAGGTGTGTAATGCTGTAGTCCAGTTCATGCTCAGGCCATTCAAAGTTGAGTTTTACTAAGATGCAATTTTCTGTTTTAAAACAACAGTTTACAAAGTGCAGAGTTTTCACATGGGTCCTGCTAATAAAGAATTAATGGAATTAAATATGAATTACAAAATTTTCTATATACAACATTTCAAAATTAAGTGAAAATATTTCACTTAATGTAACAAAAATGTTGATTAATTATCTAAATAGTTTTCACACAAATAATGTCATTGCTATTTTAATTGAATGATTGATAAATATTATAATGTCATTGTCAAACATTAAACAAAAGAATGAAATGTTCCCACGTTTGTGAAATAAAATTGGCATCCAAGTATTGTGAGAGTCAACTCACAGAAATAAATATGAATCTAATTTAGCCTTTGCTACAAGCTCTGCTGTGAGAAATTCCACTTAATACAAGTATGTACAACTTTATACACATAAATGGGCTTGAAGCATAATTCAATGTATCATAAAAAATACCAATTCACTTACAAAATACTTTCATATACTTAAATAGATTTTAGTCATCAAGTGCTTCTACACTTCAATTAAAGTGTGATGTACAGCAACATCTTCAATAACATGTCTGCAGAAGAAATGAAGCACAGCATCTCCCCGCACCAACTGCAAATGCACTAACTTCCGCTCAGAAATATCACACTGTAACACACGATCGGGAGGAAAGCTGTGTTCCAGAGCAAGAAATGCGACTAGCTTACGTCGATCCACTCGTACACCATACAATCGCGTTAGGTCATGACCGCGGTGATCTCCATCTGAAAAGGAAATTAAATGCTTTCAATTGATGCTTTTTTGGAGGGGGAGAGGGTAATTATACATATACTCCTAACAGTTGGAGGCTAAAAATCTTATCATTTGTAGCCTTCTAACACGCATTGTATTGCTATTCTTACGATGGCATGCAATTTTCTAGACAAAAAAACATAATTACTGTAGAAATCCAGTTATAAGGATTAATTGGGACCAGACTCCATCTGGATAATATGATAAATCATTAAA